GGTACAACTTTAACTCGGTACCTCTTTAATTTAAACTGACTGAACGGCTCCGATGCGCTTGCCAATACGTATTTATTGCTAATGCTGACAATTTACATTAAAATACAACTTACCTGTTGAAATTCCACTTAATGATAATGCCAAATTTAAAATATTTTGGCTACGCTTCATTTTACTATGGTTTTACTCTATAAAAGCCAAAATAGTCACCATGTACACTTCTCACTTCTTTATACTAAACCACACAACAACACTAAACTTCTAGGAGTGCGAGTAAACTGCCAGACGACAACATCGCAATTCGTCATAACTTGTCATAACACGATAAAAACTATCGTAATTATCCGCGCAACAACATTGTAAATCAACATACAATGCAGTAACATTACGTTTTATGATCATAAACCCGAATTTTGTCATGTACAAAGATTGTATATAATATTACAATGTTATTGTATTTTATTGACATGCTACTCATAATATTTTCTATAAATTGTAAATCAAGTTGCAGCGATATTGTTGAAAAAAAATACTTTTTTGTTATGTTACAATACTTTGACATTTGTATATTTCAAAAACTAATGGGAACAGAATTACAACGATTGTACAGAAAAATTGTATATTTTTTTTACATAGCAATATCATTGTAATGTAATTTATGGCAAAAAATGAGTTACGATGTTATTGCATGGAGGTGTCGATATTGAGGTATAAGTTTATGTCGTGGAACAAGTACTTCAGTAATAGATGTATCAGATTCTGAGCTGTAAACTATCGGTTGGCTTATCGCTGCGTCAGTCTTGCTTAGTCCTGTTGTAATCAACTAAACGTCTTTTACCTCTGTACTAGTTGAAACAGGCGACAATGAGTCATTCTGATCTAGCAAAGATGGTGTACATGGATTATGGTCTACAAAGAAGGCCTTGTCGCAATCTAAACTATTAACATCTGAACTATGCACTGCGTACCGTAAATTAATACCACTAGAAACAGGAGTTGGCGAATTTTGTAAAGACCGATAAATTTCTTGCTCTTCAAAAAATGTCTTCTCATAATCTGAACTATCACTAGCAGGTGTTTGTGATGCGCTTCGTAAATTCATAGAACTAGGATCAGCTTTTTGCAAGGATCGATTGTTTTCTGTCGTTAGGTTGTCTACTGCTATATGTCTTTCAGTCAATGCAGATGATGCATATGCTTCATGTGGTATTGCATCTGAATTATAAGGATACAGCCCTGTAGTGTAGTGAACCCAATTACTATATTTTCGAAGGTCATACATTTTGACCAGACTAGTAAAAATGTAGTTGAATGGCGCTGTGCCTAGTTTTTTCTCTGGGTTTTGGTATAAATAAAGTTCTTCCCAGTGGTGTTAAAAAGATTTGTTTACGCTTTTATCTAGAGGCTGGAGCTCATGCGTGGTATTTGATGGCAAGCAGTACAATACAATATCGTGTTGCTCTGCTGCATCAACAATGTTATAATCTAAATGACATGAAGCGCCATCAAAAACTAGAAGACACCTGCCGGCCGCTTTATATTTTCCCAAGTGATGTATGAAATCTACAAACAGTGATGAAGTCATGCTGCCTTTCTTTGCCATTTTCACGAGTGATCCTACAGGCAAATTATCATTAAATTCTGACTTTAACCTTTTCCCCTTGAGAATATCATTGGGGATTCGAACTACCTAAAGCATTTGCACACGCAGCCACAGTGACATTCTCTTCGTGCTCTGGTACAACCATATTTTAGCACCTTTCTGTACCAATAGCACTGGCCTGTTGTGAAAGGTGAGTCGGCAGCCTTTTCCATCCATGTTATATAAGCGTTGCGGATGTTGCCCGATCTCTAGCTCTTCGTATATTTTCTTATATTCAGCAAAATGCTGCAATTAGACTTGTTCAGCTTCTGCGCCCTTCCTGGGTTTAAGATTTGAACCTTGCGGTTATATATTTTGGGATGTCTTATAAAATAATTTTAACCAGTCTTTACCAGCCCGCCTTGCTGTCGAATTAAAATTATTAGAAATTTTGTGTAGTTCACAAAAGACATAAGCTCGACGACGAATGACATTTGGCATTAAAGGAAATCCTATAGAGGCAAGCCTTTTGATTCTCGACTCTAAATCATTTTCTTGCTCTGGTGTGAAAACTGTACGACGTCATATTTGTTTTTCGACTTTCCAGATTTCAGGTGGTTTACCAAAATTCTTCTGGGAATAGAATACCGCGCAGACATCAGTCCTCCTTGAACAGCAGCCATTGCAGCTTGTAACTGCTGAAGCGACCAAAGTCCTCGACGTTTTTAGCATGTTCCATAATTAGTTCAAGTATTCTAAAAAGGAAATAAATACCCTCGATATAGAAATAAAAATTGCGCATATGTTAGGAAAACTAGACATTCCGTAAGTTTAATAAGGGCCGACCCTATTAACCAGCCTTTTAAGTGGCTCTTATTAGATAAGCTTGAGCTTTTCGATGTAAAATTGTTAAATGTCAATAAAGCAATTAAACTTACCTTGATTAGTTAACACAAATGACTATTTTTTACTATAAAACGGCACATATTCCAAACAGTAACGCACATTTTATCACCTTTGTGGAGAGATTTTAACCAATGAGTGACGCAGACCAACTAATCAGATAATCGGCTAGTCGGCGAATAACATAATACGCCCATCTCTAATGATTATTAATTTATTATTAAATTTAAATAATAATATTATCATACTATTTGTTAGCCGCATGGTATTCACAATCAAACATGGGCTCACCTGAAAACTTGTAAATAGTACATTTTTCATGACCTTACCCATATACTATGTCATAATGCGAGGCACGGGCCTCCTCCCATATCTGAGAGCAATGGAGACTTTACGTCTTCGAAATATTTTAATTTTTAAAACATGCGCGTTTCCTTCACCGCCTATCAAAACTAGCTTATTTCTTCTTTTTTTTTTCAAATCAGTACTTGAACTAGCAATTAGCAATTTAATTGGGGATCGAACTTGATTGCCCGCGTGTTATCAAATATTAAAGGCGAGCTTGTCATGAGATACCACGGCTCTTGGTAAAAAACAGCTATATAATTAGCACTACTACAATGAACAATATCAGATTTTTAAGTATGTATTTAGTACAAACTTAGTTATAAGCAAACTGTGTAATGTAATATTAAATATAGTTATTAATAAGTGTTACATAATTATTTTGTATTTATATTAATAAATAAATATTTTTAAGTTCAGTTTTGTTTTTTATTACTATGAAAGTAAGTATGCAGTGTTTACTTTCTTAATTATTCTTGGAAGCGTATAATTTAGGTTTTTATTTTTATTGCGTGGAACCCTAATTCTTATTCTTAAATTAAAGTAGCCTAAGTTACTCTTTATAACATAAGCTGTCAGCCAGTGAGTCACATCCAAAATTTTAAAAATTGTGTTTTTGTTTATAAGTAAGTACTTTCATATGCATTTAATGATATGCTGTTATTTTGACATTACAAACAGACACTCTAATTTTATTTATTTGTATAGAATACTCTGTTTTCGATGTGGACTGGAGAGGATTTGGAGTAGGATGTCTGATATATCTTGAACATAGCAGGGCTCCAGTAGGTACCCATAAAATTAAAGATAAAGAAAGCTACATCCTATATACATCGCACTGCTAGGCACATTCTTCCTCTCATTTCTAAAAGTTCTACGTCAAGGAAATGTCCGTCGCCCTGGCCCCCAATGCGTGTTGGTCGATTTCATGGTCACACAAGCAGGTTTTCTCACAGTGTTATTCTTCACCGCCGAGCACGTGGTAAATCAGTACTTAAAATTGCAATTAACAATTAAAACCGAAATAATTCTTTTTAATTATAAAAAATCATAAGTTAATTTGAGTTACATACCTAAATCATTCCTATTTATTTTATAGTTTCTATTGGCGTTAACGATTATAGAGCCATAAAATTGAATTAACATACGAACTAACAGCCCATTGATACTTGCAATTAACTTCGAACAAAAGGCTACTGATGCAGCGTCACCTCTGAGCAACTAAGATGGAAAGCCTCACAACTGTAATTGTAATAAATGTAATTATAATGACTATACCCTTCGCCTTAGACCGAAACATAACAGTGCATACGGCTTGCACTATTTGGCAGCAAAAAAGGGCACACTTACTGTGTAGTGTTAGTGTAACAATATACACTACACTGCTTCGGTCTAGTGGTTGTAGTAGTGCGACTGCTGACCATGAGATCTCGGGTTCGTATCCCAATTTGGGCTAAAAAATCAGTTATTAAGCATATTTCATCATTTTATTAAGCATAATTCATCAAGAGACACACAGTAGTTGACCGGAGTCAGGAAGTTGGCGTGTCTTACCCCCGTGCCTCGGAAAGCACGTAAACGTTGGTCCTGCGCCTGATCTCTTTACGGTCGTGTAGGTTTACCGTCCCATCGGACTATGAGAGTGAGGGAATATATGTAGAGTGCACCTGTGCTTGCGAATACACTCGTGCACTATAATCCTGGGCTGCGCAGATGGCAGTCTCCGTCGAGACTGGCCGCCGTGACCTCTATACAACACTACTTACAGGGGATACCCCATTTGTCGCCTCTTAAGATATTAAGAGGCGACAAATGGAATCTAGACAGGCAAAACTATCTTCCCACTAGTTGCCAACCCGTCTGCCAAGCCTGGCAACTAAGGCTAAATTACCTCAATAAAAGCCATCTATGGAGAGAATTTTATAGGCTGTAATGGTAAGGTCACTTGTTAATAAATGAAACACAAATGATCAGTACCTAAATTATTTTATTATACATGATTCAGCATATTTCTGAATATCAAAGGTAAGTCAACCTGGTGCGACCGACGGACAAACAATATACAAAATGGATTAACCAAGCTAATAACAAAATATAAACATTTCCATCTCAGCACGAGTTGGGCCTGAGCTTGCAGATACAACGGTGCAAATTGTCCCCTCGACCGACTTCATCGTCCGCAATCCTATATGGGATAGGTAAAATTAGATCCTACTGAAGTGCACTTGAGTGCCCAAAATTGGGCAAAACAGAGTGTATAATAAAAGGCACATGATCATTTAAGTGCCTATATTGAACTGTATATTTGTCTGTCAGCGAGAGCATACTTTAAAAATTATTATAATTGATCTCAAATACTGTACAATTTTAAAAGTACACACGACCCTATCATTATCTGTTGTCAGCATTACTTTGAACACTTTATTTGCCAAACACATTCGTCATGCTTGGCAACAACGACTAAGTCCCACAGTGGATATTCACTGAATGAAAAGATTCTATGTTGCATAAATTCTAACCCCCTAGATATTCCATATAGGATAAGGGTTGAAGATATATTGAATCTTTTTTTAATAATTTTTAAAATTAAAACACTGCATAATGACTGCATATGCATTATCACAATGAGTAATAATTCATTAAATGTATGATAATATTTTGACTATTTCATAATAAAAATGTCGGCATTTGGTTTCGTTAATTGCTATGGAAGACCAAATCAAGATTTCGATTAATTTGTCTTAAAAAACATTATGCCGTTCCTAAATATTATTTACTTTATCTTTATAACCTAATAAAAAATTATGCTAAACGTGTTGATATTTTTATATTACTTTACGCAAAATACCATGATTTATGTTATTTGGTGTCTTTATTTAATATATTTAACCTTATATACAATTTAGAGTCGAAATCTTCAGGCCAGACCCCCTGTGAGAAGTAAAAAAAAAAACCAGTAACACTATATTTAAACTCTAAAGAAAAATTACTATTTACTATTTTAAAACTAAACAAAAATGTAATAAACGAAGGATGTTTTGAGAGGATTTCAAGTTTGGTAGGCATGTGTTTTTCCTCCACGTAATAACTATTGGAAAATGTAAGCGACAGGGGACAACTCGTTTTACAAATACTAATTTAAATTGGGAATCGAATCTTCAACCTGGACACATCTTTATGTAGAATCGAACCCATAAAAGCCTCTTTCATGCTTATGTTTAATGAACCTTCAATATGGTCAGATTAATTACGTGGGAGTTATAAGGATATCCTTCACCCCCTTTTATTAACAACCTGGAGATAATATCATCACCTCTTTTTTGTTTATCTACTTATGGGCATCAGTAGACAAGATCTGCAGCGCTAGCCAAGTTGACTTCCTACAATCCTTAATGCTGATAGAAAACTATAAAAATAAAAACTATACTATAATATAATTACACTCTTAATAAATAGTTAAGGCCAACTGCAAGTAACTAAAAAGAAGAAAATAATTAATTAAATAAAATTAAATAACTTTTTGACCCCTTTAGAGTGGACTAAAGAACATCACACGTTCCAATGTCGTCTAAAAAGATATATTACGAACTTCATTCCCTATATTTCCACATCTAGACGGATATTTTTTTTTCAAATTTATATGGTCATATTTATGGATCACATTATGTGGATAGTAATAATTTAAATTATTAAGTAACATGCATAGAAAAAATGAGAACATAGTCAAATAAGTACCTCCTCAGTTTGATGTTGATTAAAAATGAATGTAATCAATATTAAATCACATTGAGATATGTCATTCCAAATCGGTTTTATAGCTTTCTATGTAGAAAGTCACTTGGTTAACACCGTAGATTGAAGTTCATTGACAAACATAATCACTAACATATTTAGCCATTTCTTAATAAATATTGCACGAAGCCACCCACAAATGTAATGCAGAAAACAGTTTAGTATATAGATTTCAATATTAGTTTTACCATCACTGAAACACACTTGGCCAACCTAATAACTAAGTTAAACGCTTCAAGGGAAATTAAATGAAGAAATCCATCGTTTGAAACGCATGTAATTATAACGAGGAACACATTTGTAAGGCATTTTGATATCACACAACTATATAAAGACGAGTAAACCTTGAACTATACCGATTTTTAACACTCGCTGACAAAACCAAATACCGACAAATTTGAGAAAAAAGGAAAAAACAATAGAAATATACATTCTCAATGAACAGCGATACATCGATATACGTGGGGTTACAGTTAGGTTACAAAGTCATAGCCTAGGTATTTCTTATTTTTTCGTCTCACCCTAGATCCTTTTTTATCATCGTAGTCGTCAGACGTATCTTGATCGTACACACTGTTGTCGATGACCCAGTCCTCGCCCATTTCCGTTTTTAACTGTATCTGCTTGACCTGCTCCCTCACCGATGGTGTAATCTTCTTTCTCTTTTTCCGGACCACGTCATTCCCATCCCTGGACCTCTTCCTCGGTCTCTCCTCTAATACTAAATGCTCATATTCCTCGACTATATAATTCTCTGGCTCATAACTCGTTGTAATTTCAACCCCGACAGACGGGTCAACATCGGGTAATATATAATAGTTCTCAAAGTCCCCTTGCAGTGTTATCTCGTTCATCTCCGCTGTAAAATGTCGTTTTTTTTTCCCAGTATTACAATGTTTAATATAAGCGTATTTCGGCTTGGTCTCCTCTGGTATTATGTTTACTGTCCACTCTCGGTTGTCAGCGACGGGTATTTCTTTGACCTCTTCCATAGTTATCTCCTGTTCCTCTGCTATCTCGTAAATAAAATTGTCTGATATATTGCCATCATCCATTATGTGGAGAACTTCATTTTGGTTTTCGAGGCTTTCTGACGTGGACGTCTGTGGTATGATCTGAAAATATTTTTTTTTCAATGTCATTAAAGCCAAACAGTCTAGGATGCAAACTCTGAATTTAAATATTGCAGGTTTACAAACTTAAAAGCTTATAACCATAATAATTAAAACACTAAAACTAAAATTATCATACAGTCCTACTCCCCATAGTATAGTGCAAAGAACGCTGGCTGTATTACTGAATGGCTTATTCAAATATGGTAGACCCATGCCGCCCGCAGCTCTACTACAGCTCCAGTACAAACGGTAGTGCAATAAGAGAGTCGTAAAACCAAGGTCTTAATAAGATTGAACAAGCCACAGATCAGGATAGTATAGGACATGGCTCCTTTAACAAACATTTATTTACCATACGTGTTGGGGTGCGTACAGATTAAGTAACATGTTGTGTAACTTTTGTTTTATAACACGTCCAAATTATGTAACATTGTTTTTCAACATTGCAACATATAACAATACTGTACACATTAGAATAACAATGCAATATAACAATGTTATATGACATTGTCGTATGATATTGTCGTTTGTCGATCTGCCGTTTGAGTTATAGAACATTTGTGTCACGTTATATAATACGTTTTATAACATTCAGCCTCCAAATTACTGAAACATGTTATATAACACCGTTTATAACATGTTATATTATATAATGTGTACGCACCGTTACAGATAGTCCCCTGTGCAGGGCATGTATAGGTGAGGAGGAATCGGCGGCCCACGTGTTGCTGACATGTTAGGTGGTCGCTGCATACAGGGCTAAACATCTCGGCACCTCTGGGATCCCTCCCCGAAGTTGCTCACAACATCAAAGGACTGTTCAACTTCTTCAGGGAGATTTCATGGTTTGAATAATCACAATATTCCTGCCCACACGCAAAATAAGCGCTTAGACGTGGAGTTGCGGAAAACAGCCCGTCGTAAACTAAACTAAACTACATGTGCAGTTAATGCATATCCTATACACATGTGAAGTTAATGCTAAGTAAAAGGTCATGTTGACTGTCCTATTCTCATCATAATGCAGCACATGATACTCTGGAGATTAAGACAAATAGAACAAAACTTCACTTTCTCCAATGGCTCAACCATTTAGGGTATAGGTTGCAAACATTACCAACCTTTAGCTATGTTTTTATAATTTCTGATTTGCCTTGACATATAATACTTACCTCAATTATTTGCTTCGGATCAGGCATCTTGGCTATTACTTGCTCGGATTGCGTGATGGAGGCTTCCGCCTTATCGGTTTCCACTTTGACCACCCACAACTGCTTCTTCTGCAAATTCTTCAGCGACCTGGTCATTAATTGATTCATAGTGAATGTCAATATTAACAAAATTCATATACTATAACGAAATGTCTGGGACCTTGGTGAATTTATGTTTTTAGTTCAATCAGATTTTAATTATTAAAAAAACATCCAAATAATATGTTTATTAAAAGAAATAAATATTAAAAGAAACTATGAAATCATTATTGATATTATTTTTGCAGATAATATCCTTTTTATTTTTTAGTATTTTCATTTACATAAGTCCCTCATAAACAAAAATATATAGGAAACACATCAGCTTAACTTAGATAAAAAAAAACTATATATATATATACACACATGTTATACGCATGGCTCTACCACGTATAAAGTATACATGGTAGAGCCATGCTGCAGCTATATTAGTAGTATAGTTGTAGCACGAATGGGTTGGCTCGACCGGGGCAGGACCACGCTCTCACAGAATAGCAGCTTAACACTGCTGTGTTTTGTATGGAGAGTGTAGAGAATCGGATACCCTTTTTACTGGAAAAGAGGCATTCCATCTTAGTCCTTACGGGTGACACCGCATCTGCCATGACTGTGAAGAAATATAGCCTATCTATATAAAATATATGTCTATCTGCCTATATTATAAAACTAATAAATGTAATGTACTTACAAGTAACCCAAGGTATCGACCAGTTGTCGTACATTCAGTCTGGATACACTCTCGGCCTCCTTCTTCGTCGGTTCAATGCTGTAGTTATGCTCCATCCGAATGATGTCAGCAACTAAAACCAACAAGAGATTTTATAACTTTGAGAGCAGAAACCGGGTGACCGGTTCTTTATTTAGGTTGTAATACAGGTGCCACTTATTGGTATGTATTCGGTTAAGATATCAGTTTTAAAATACCAGTTCCAAAATACTAATCTATTAGCTTCTATGTAGAAACGAAAAGCCTACGTGACGTTGTACTTTAGCTTTATTTTCTCAATATTACTTCAACCATAACATATGAATATGACAAGGAATTACATTTTATATCTGCATTATCGTTATTTGCTAACCAACTCTAAAAACTTAATTTACCTTATTTCGATTGTGTACCGGTAAAAAAGGGGTTAAGCACCTTTTTAACCGACTACAAAAAGGAGGAGGTTCTCAATTAGTGTGTTTTTTTGTATGTATGTTACGCGACATCTTGGATAGTGAACCAATTTTGATGACACTTTTTTTATTAAATAATTATACTTCTGAGGTGGTGCCATGTAAATTTGGAGAAAAAATCCACCCCAATGAGGTCGGTTTTTACTGTTTTGTTAAAAGTTGTAATTATATTTATTTACCTATCATTATTCTCTCATTTAGATTTCAGTGTCAGCAGGCTATCTTTCTAAGCTAACCTTTTAAAATCGTTAATACAAATAGAAATCCATAAAAAAATGAAACCAATGTGTAGTAATGTGTTGAGATTTACCATTATGATATACGTAATGATCATTTAAATTTTTATAGTTATCTATTAGCTTTTGAGATTGTACAAAGTCAACTTGGCTAACATTGCTGTTCTGGTTGTTTTTAAAAAGTTCAATCTGATCCGAGAGCTCATGACGCATTTTTCATGAAGTGTTTGATGCATCATGAAACTTTGTTAATAACTATCAGTGTTGTTAAAAAAGTTCAAAGTTGTTAAAAACATCACTTTTTTTACGTGGTAGAGCCATGCTGCAGCTATATTAGTAGTATAGTTGTAGCACGAATGGGTCGGCTCGACCGGGGAAGGACCACGCTCTCACAGAATACCATCGTAAAATAGCAGCTTAACACTGTTGTGTTTCGTATGGTGAGTGTAGAGAACCGGAGACCCTTTTTACTGAAAACGAGGCATTCCATCTTAGTCCTCACGGGTGACAACGCATCTGCATTTTGATTCTTAATCGAGGATAGATGTAGATGTCCATGGGCCACAGCAACCACTTACTATCAGGTGGACTGTGTGCTCGTTTGTCACCCTATTCCTATAAAAAAAAATCAGTCTACTCAATAAGCACACCTGGTATTGCGCATAAATAAACCGCAAAAAATTCGCCAAAAAAAAGTGTTTGATTCAAATAATAATAATAATGACTATCCTCAGCTAAGTTGATAAAGAATTAAGAAAAAAAAATTGCACACACTTCTGAAGGGGTTGACATAGGGGCAAACTACCCCAAAGTTGTATTTTCAAAAAATAGTCAAATAGTTTTCAACCAAGTTTCATGATGCATCAAACACTTCATGAAAAATGCGTCATGAGCTCTCGGACCAATCCCTAACCGAGACATCTTTGGTTGATCTTGATAAGCACCTTACAGTGATAGCATGAATACTGGTGACTTCTTTGATGATAACATTCGAAAACAGTCGAAAATTTTCAACTAAGCAGAATATATTAAAATTCCCCTGAAGTGAAAACATAAGACACGCACTCGACCTAAACTACCTAGGAATTGCATGACTGAATTCCGCCCTCTAACTTCCACTATCTTAAAATCAGACGCTCAGAGTATCGGTCTTTCTATACGATTACAATGTGGGTTTAGGCCAGGCCAACTACAAACTGTTTCATAAGCAAATAGGCAGGACTTAACTCTGAAAACTACGCTATATACCATAGCAAATCAATCTAAGAGCTGTATTATGATACTCTACTCTATGCCGTGTTTTGGAACGTTAGTGTGGTCTGTCAATTTTTTATACAACTAAATAGACAAACGAACTTACCACCCACCTGATAGTAAGTGGTTATTGCAGCCCATGAACATCTGCAGCCAATTTCGAACAAAGGAGATTAGAGACTGCGTTGTCACCTTTTAGAACTAAGATGGAATGCCTCAGTCTACCCTTCAGAGCAAGTTGCCACCAAGCAACAGTGCAAGCTCTGTTGCTTGGTGGCAGAAATAGGTAAAAGGGTGGTGGTGTTAGGTGCCTTCTAGGTAGAACAGGAGTCATATCACGTAGATAATGTTTTACTTATATAAGTATATACGTGGTAGAGCCATGCTGCACCTATATTAGTAGTATAGTTGTAGCACGAATGGGTCGGCTCGACCGGGATAGGACCACGCTCTCACAGAATACCAGCGCAAAGTAGCAGCTTAACGCTGCTGTGTTTCGATGATAAGTGTAGAGAACCGGAGACCCTTTTTACTGGAAAAGAGGCATTCCATCTTAGTCCTCACGGCTGACAACGCATCTGCATTTTGATTCGCAAACGAGGATAGATGTAGATGTCTATGGGCCACAGCAACCACTTACCGTCAGGTGGACTGTGTGCTCGTTTGTCACCCTATCCTATAAAAAAATATAAACAGTTTGCGATGCTCTTTTAATTACTATATTTATAACTAACTATTTACAGATTTTAATTAATATTGTTTAAGTAATCGAACACCATTTATATCGCGTCTTTATAAATCAAGTACTCAATTCCCTATAAACTAGTAATGAAATCTCTATTATATCTCTATATTGGTACATTTACTTTAAGGAAATTAAGTACTAAGATCCTTGCACGAAAATAAAACGATGCGTATTGCCTATTCTTGGTTTGAAGAGCACAACCCTCTGACGTAAAAGAAATGATCACGTTAGTACATCACCTGACAAAGCTTCATTTTGGGACCGCATTCCTATTAGTTGTAGTTGTGATTGTACACAGTTGTGGAGTAGAGAGGAGAGGGCGGTGCTCTTAAACTGGTTAGTACAGTCCATTTTATTTATGAACGCGGATCTTAGTAAATGAACTTTCTCATCTTTAATACTACTATTATAGTAAGGGACGGCTATATACCCTAATAGCGAGCACCCTGTATAAGTAAGCAGCGTTACCTTTAGGCGGGCCTTTTAGGAACCGTTCGAAAATGGCGAGGAAGCCGCCCGGCGCCGCCGCCGCGCCTGTAACAAGCGCCCGTCACTCGCTACTAGCTTATACAGGGTGTTTCAAAAGTTTCGAAGTTGATGTTGATGTTTGGTGGGGCTTACGTTAAAAAATGAATGTTTCATTTTTTAACGTAAGCCCCACTAGGATTTTCTCCTATATTGTGGAGTGTTGTACATATATATAAATTGCACAGGGACAAACATCCAGACCCAAAACAATTATATGTTGGCCATACAAACACATGTTCCGTGCGGGATTCGAACGTGCAGCCCGTAACCAAATGTTTAGTCATGCGCTACTTATACCGAACTGCCTTTCAAGGTACGGCTTAAGGTTCTCAAACGTAAAAATTGGACATAAGTATTCTCCTCATTCTCACATACGAAACCTAATTTTGGCCTGTAACATTTTAGCAAAGTTCCACTCACGATGTTCGGCAGTAATCGATAGAGCATTCTGAGGAATCACACTGACAATTTTTTATCTGGAATGCAATCGTCTCAAAAACTCAAATCACCGATGTGACAATTTTTTTTATGTGGAATGCAATCGTCTCAAAATATCAAACAGGATTGGGCTGTACGTTTACACTATATCAGATGAGTTGTAGGCATAGCCTATGAACTTATTGAGCTTTACTCGTATGTTGAGGACTGGAAAATTATAATAGGTTGATTCAGATTGTTGCATGTTGCGAAAATTTTATAAGGATTTTGAGCTATAATTAAATAATTCAATATATAGCTTCAATATATTACTTGTGTAAATATAAGAAATCATTATAACTACAAAATCCTAATAAAATATTCGGCACATGCTTCGTATTAGTTTCATTTAGCTCAAAGAATACTTTCCCTGGAACTCGTGAAAGGTGGGGAATTAAAATTAAACGTGATAAAAACTGTAAAATTATCATAATTATTTCTTATTGATTATTTGTAAAGTCTTCCATCCAGGCGAACTATATTATTAACACTAATACTAATAAAAACATTGCAATAACCAGGACATAAAAATATTCTGAGGACAGTTACCAACATTTTATTTGGATAATATCTCATTTTTTTCTGTCAAATAGGAATAATGTTTGTTTTTAAGCGTGTTGCGGGCTGGATTCCGCAACTCCACGACTAAGGGCGTATATTGCGTTTAGGCAAAAACTAATCCCATTCGAGCCACGCTAGCTCCTCAAGAGAATTTATAGCTACAAGGCACACAACAACACAAGACGAAATTATATTTTTATAAAGATTTAATAAAAATACTCTCGCATTTCACATGATAAGTGATGAAAAAACTCGCTTGCATCAACAAGGAAGGCAGTAGCTTTTCCCAGATATCTAAGATAAATAACCTAATAGCCTGTCACACCAACTATCTTACCTCTCAAACAAGAACAGGACAGTGTACTGTTGCTTAGTGGTAACTATTTGGCTATACTACTTAGCAGACAAGATGCTCTACCATCTAGAAGGTGCGTTAAGAAGTGAAACATATATATTTGCATTAGAACAAGTAATATAAGCCGTGTTTTGAGAGTGAATCAAACCAGGAGATGGGGAAATAACAACTCGAAAATAACTGCTATTAACTACCTGATCTGCAAAGCGTGACAACACTGACAAATATATGAGGCAATCTATGGGGAGGCCTATGTTCAGCAGTGGACTTTAATAGGCTGTAATGAATTAATAAATAAAGTAATATGAAAGTAATGTTAGCTTAGCTTTTAAAAAACTACACTCAAATGCTATTAAAAAAAATATACAAACACATTTGATTTAACTCATAAAAATTTATCTAAATTAAAATATATATGTATATATATATATATATATATATATATATATATATATTTAAATTTACTCTCTCACTCTCTCTCACTAAATAACAATAGTCTAGTGTAGAGATAAGTTGTACTTAATTTAAGTAAACGAAATTTAAAAATAATAATTATTACAAATGAGCATTATTAAAAAATTATACAATCTATCTGTCTTTATTTATTATCTATACCATTGCTTAACTTTTTGACGTTAAATCAAGCCACACAATTGAAATATTAATTACTTTTACTTGCAAATATTATATAGTAACAAATACCTTTTTTATCGTTTTCCGACTGGACCATTGTTGCTACCTGCTCTTGGGGTGTGAGGAGTTCAGGCAGCATTGGCGAGTCAATCCAGAGGCCTTGGGCGTCCATTTCGAAATGGTACCTAAATAAATAAAATACTACAGTGTGTAAAATCATGAGTTGCACTGATAAAACATTTCCAGAAGAACGTTATGTTTGACAAACAGTGGTTGTTCTGTGGGTGTGGTAAGAGGCGTCTAAGAGATGGCAGATAAGCATCTCATGTTTATAATATTAATAATAATAATAATAAAACCTTTAGAATAGAATAAAATCATTTTTATTCAATATAGAGTACATAATACTTATTGAAAGCCATTTTTTACTTTTACCACTGGTTCCCAAAAAATCCTCTGTCCTGGAAAGAACCAGCAAGAAACCCTTATTTACAAACATTTCAAAACAGCATGATAGCGATCACCTCATTCCCAGGGGTTATTATCCGTCATATACTCTTTAGTAGTATAATAACCCTTACTAGACAATTTTTGCTTAATAAATAATTTAAACCTTTTGATAGAATAGGTCTGCATATTTTCACATTGCTCCATGAAGAAGTTACGGACTCATGCAAAAGTTATGAACTCTTATGAGTCAAGTAACTGGTATAATTAACTTGTGCTTGTTCCTAGTATTTACAGAATGTACATCACTATTTTTAACAGAACTATTTTCGTTTTTGTGTGCATACATTAAATTCTCGTAAATATATTGAGAGGTCAAAGTTAATATATTTATTTCTTTAAATTTTTCCTGAAGGGATTCCTTCGGACCTAGGCTATAAATTGCTCTTATGGCTTTCTTTTGCAAACCAAAGATAGTTTCAATGTCAGTCGCATTACCCCATAGCAAGATTCCGTATGACATTATGCTATGGAAATAACTAATTAATTTTTATATCCTGAAACTCCCATCTTATTCCTTTCTTATTCAGTTTTATTATAATATGTCTCGGAGTTCAGTGTGCCTCTTGGCAAAGGCCTCCTCCAACAATTTCCATTGTTCTCTATCTTTTGGGAATCTTCTCCAGTTATAACCCACTGTTAATTTTAATTCATCCTCCTATCCTTTGTTGCGTTGTCGTCCTCTATTTCGTTTCCCGTTTTCAGGGTACCATTCTGTCAATATTTTGCTCCATTTCTTATCTTTATGTGATATTTTAAATTTCTGCCAGTCATGGCATATGTGGCAAATCTAGTTCATAGTTCAAACACAAATATCAATAAAACATGTTTTATACTGGTTTTATATGACAAGTTTCATTTTAGGGCATGGGACTTCCCTACTGCTATTGAATTTGCCAGTCATGTGAAAAGTGAACACACAACTGAATACTTTGTCATGATTTCTGTGATCTTTCACAGATATCATCATCTCATCAATGATCTTGGAACATAACACTTATTCTGGTATAAGTGTTATGTTCCAATCAGATATGTTGATGGCAGAGATTGATGGTATCAAATGTTGTAAGACCGAGTCTCTAAGTCTTTTATATGTAGTAGAATATTTCCAATATTAATAAACCAATGTAGTGTTTCATGTATCCCAATACTATACTAGTTTGCTGTGTAGTGACATCCTTTGAATATCTACTACCCTATATGACACCGTGGGTGTAGTATGAGGCGACAAAGTGAAACTAAAACAAGATGGGCAGTAGCGTGTACCTGATATCAACTAAAAATAATAAAAACATGGCAACTATGGCAAAATCCCCTCTGTGGGAGAGGCCTGCTTTCAGCAGTGCACTGAATGAATACTATACTAGATATATCATATGTGTATATTACATGCATATAGGGGTGGAGGAAGTGATTTGCTTGAAAGCAACGGTCAAGAGTGGGCTGTTACCTTCCATGTTAATGTGGTGACTTGTGCAATGAACTGTTGTAGCGAATGTAATTCAATGAGTTACAACTAATATTTTTACTTTTTTTAATCAAAAGAGTATACTATCACAGTAGTTCCACATGAATTTCAACCACATTTGATACCAGTCTCGTCCTAATGAAACAACTTTCTGTAAAATACGGAATAGAATAGATTTTGTTTAAATATAATATTAATAGTATAGTTGTAGCACGCATGGGTCAGCTCGACTGGGGAAGGACCATGCTCTCACAGAATACCAGCGTAAAATAGCAACTTAATGCTGCTCTATTTCGTATGGTGAGTGTAGAGAATCGGAGACCCTTTTTACTGGAAAAGAGGCATTCCATCTTAGTACTCACTTTTATTCGCTAAAGAGGATAGATGTAGATGTCTATGGGCCACAGTAACCACTTACCATCAAGTGGACTGTGTGCTCACTTGTCACCCTTATCCTATAAAAAAAATTTGTCTACAATACCCGCAAAGTTGCAAGCTGACATGCCGCCAAAGACACTCGCTCTCCTCCTGCATCGCCCCTTCAATCCATTCCTGCCTTTGCACATCGCCCTCTGCAGATGTGTTCACACTGAAAACACAACCAACACAAATTAATATGTAACACTGATATGAGTCCATTATTGTTTTTAAACTTCTTAATTAATATTTTGTTAATTACCTAATTAAATTCATTTCATTACATGTTAAAATATTTCAGTATGAATATCTTATCGCCGTGTAGTGGTGACGTATAAGAATGCACTACCCTATGTCATGCCATGGGTGTCGTAAGGAGTCACAAAGGGAAATATTAACCATGCACAGAAAGTTTGCCAATGACTTCATGACGTCACATATCGATGGTTAATACAGTTGACAAAAAGACATGTTACTACTACAATAGTGGTTGCAAATGCAATAAATCAATGAAGGCAAAATTATTAATAAAAACGTTGGGAGTTCTTACTAAAATTCATTATAGGTTAACATTTTTGTTTTTCCTTCTCGAAAAACGTTAAAACCTTTAAAATAATAACACGTTCGCTAGCACAATAGGCTTTCACTTTACCCATTGTAATAAAAAAATAACACAAACATAAACTTAACAAGAAAACAATGAACAATTTCAGAGTGAGAGCAATAAATTTGAAGACTGCACAAGTGAGCGCACGACTGCATTGTTAACGGTACTAACTAGACGAGAAGGGTAGTCATCGACAAACTGTGGAGCCCGGCTAATAAGACAGGAGACAAGGGTAGCAAAAAGATAACAGCTCGACCTATAGCAATCAAGGGAACAGATCTATGTTCAGCGGTAGCCTTTTGATAAGCTATAAATGAATGATATAACAGTTTGGTTTAACTAGAGATTATATACTTTCTGTTACTTTATATGTATATTAATATTGTCTAATTTAGAGTTAGGGATAAAAAATAACAGACTGCTCTTACAACTTGACTATGGACTACCAATAACACTAAAATATACAATTGATATATGAAATACTTCAGAATGGTATATAATTTCACATATAAACAAAGAAGTTTTACAATGACATAAATCAAGCAATAATATAGATCCTTACACGTTTACAGAAACAGAAACTTTTTTATTCAATATAGATTATAAATAATACTTATTGAAAGTCACTCTTTTGTTTAATTACCACTGGTTCAAAAAAAACTCTGTCCCAGGAAGAACTAGCAAGAAACCCAGTGGACTTTTTTTTAAATAACAGCTTACAATAATTTCATCATCATCATCATTACAGCCTTTCATAAGTCCACTGCTGAACATAGGCCTCCCCCAAGGAATGCCGAAAGCACGGTCCTGAGCCACCTGCATCCATCGACTTCCTGCATGTCTTACCAGGTCGTCACTTTATCTCGTGGGGGGTCGCCCTACACTTCGCCTACCGGTACGAGGCTGCCACTCAAGAACCTTTCTTCTCCATCGGTTGTCGGTTCTTCGAGATGTATGGCCGGCCCACTGCCACTTCAGCTTACTAATCCGTTGGGCTATGTCGGTTACTCTGGTTCTACTGCGGATATACTCATTTCTAAGTTTATCACGCAGAGAAACCCTGAGCATAGGCCTCTCCATAGCTCGCTGAGCGACCTTGAGCTTCCTCATACGGCCAGCAGTGAAGCACCACGTCTCAGATCATTTATGTTACACAATTAACAACACAACAAATTAGAAATAGCTTGGTAGCGATCACCTCATTCCCAGGGGTTATTATCATTCATAAATTCCCTTTAATAACCCTTTTTACACAAACTTTAATAGTTTTTGAACTTTCAACAGGTCAAATTTTGTATATTTTCTGGAGTTTTGTTGTAAAAGTTTATACATCGCCCCAAGAATGAATTACTGACTCAGTGGAGTATAGTAACTGGTACTACTAGCTTGTGTCTGTTCCTAGTATTTACAAATAAATATCACTTAGTTTTGTGTACATACATTACATTTTCATATATATATATTGAGAGGCCAAAGTTAATATATTAAATTCCTTAAATTTATGTCGCATCGACTCTTTAGGCTTTAAATCATAAATTGCTCTTATTCCTAAAAGGCCCTCTTCCGTAAAACAAATATAATTTCAGTGTCAGCTGCGTGTCCCCATAGCAAAATACCATACGACATTATGCTATGGAAATAGCTAAAGTAAACTAGTCTAGCTGTTTCAACACTGGTAAGATTTCTAATCTTTTTTACAGCATATGCTGCAGAACTAGTCTGCTTGCTAGTTTTGCTATATGGGGGCTCCATTGAAGCTTCATGTCTAGTGTGATTCCAAGAAAAGTGGTGGTATAGACAAGACTCAGTTCCTCCCCATTTAAAATTACATTAATATTTAATTGTTTGACATTTGGCATCATAAATTTCATACATTTTGTTTTAGTGTCATTTAAATGCAAATTATTAACATTGGACCAATTTACTAATTTAGATATAGCATTATTTTTCATTACTGATGTTTATTAGATATATTCCACTGTTAGGTAAGAGCAAACTGGTTAAGTTGATGAAAGCATTAATGTCTTCTAATAAATATTTTAAGAATAAACATATAATTAGCTGATTCAAAAAAAGTGGGGTGATCCACCCCAATACAATTGAGTGTATTTTTGTATGTATGTTACTCAATATCTTTGTAACTCGTTGTCCGATTTTAATTATTCCTTTTTAATCTATTAGAGCGAATACTTAGGCATTAGACATATTGAAGGGGATAGTTAGTATTTGATTCTGATTTCAAATATAGAAAAAAAAATATCAACATAAAAACATAATCAACAACTAAACATACTAAATGGGTGAATATACGCTATTTGAATTCCAATGGTCCATAGACAAATTTTATGTTAAACATAATATATTATTGTTACTGTATGCTTAAGCAATAAAGAATATCGTCTATTATTTGGCCCACACAGTCAATTCACAATAATTGTTTAATTTAAGGCATTAATAGCTTAAAATAGTTATAAATGTATAGTCCCCTGGCCTCCCTCATTACTAGATTGTATAATTTTATGGCCATATGTATTATATACTTAAGCCATTATGTTTTCTTTTAACATGATCATACGCCTAAATAAACATCGAAACATATTTTATGAAAATACATTGTAATAATATTTAATAATATAAAAAAAAATATCTTATTTTCACGTGCCGTTACAATTATGTCACCTCACCTGGCGAAACTGAAAGACTAAAAATTTTACATAAAACCGCTAAAGTATGTTTTTGAGCTTGAACTACAAGCGTAGTACAGTGTGACGTTCGAAGTAAGCTAACGGTGATGAGCAAAACTCAAATAATATTGCGTCAGTTTTGGATTCACTGTAAGAAAGCGTGTTTGTGCCAGTCGTTGGAGTATTTCCCTTGGTAAGTATACGTTTTTGTATTTTGTTGTTACGAAATTGTAAATTTGCACAGTGCAATGTTTATTTTGTGTAGATGTCATGTATTACGTTAAACTGCGATTAGAAAAACAAGTGATGTTGTTTTTGTAGGTTGTGTGCGATTTTGTCACTTCTCTGGCGTCACTTCGCTGGCATATTTCATGTCAGGGGAAATACAGCCGTCCCAGGGAAGTGATGACATTTTGTTTCGTTAATATTTAATCTTATAACGCTTCAATTTATTTGTTCTATGTACCATGATATCATGGCGAATGTTAAAAAGAAGCAAACAAGGGAGATGAGAATCAAGATGATACCAAATAATTAAAACGATCCGGTTAATAAAAAAAGGAAAAGGGTCAAACTAAGAGCATTAATGACATGATTGAAAGGTTACAAAGAGCTATTAGAAAAATACGGAGAGAGAAGACTATAGAGTCACACTCTACCAGAAACTATCAAGTAACACCACCGTCATCTGATAATGAAAACCAACCTCCACTTTCACAAAGCAATTTGGCTCTGGCTGCTAAAAGACGATCAGAAAGTCAGCATTAAGTACACAATAAAGTTATAAAAAAACAAAAATATGAAATTACGTCAAAAACTACGTTAGTAACAAAACAAACTAAGGCGCATCGAAAAACAGAAGAAGGGGCTCCAAGTGATATCGGAGAGACATGTAAACGAACCCCTGACAAAGTAGTCGCTTTAGGAACTAACATACACATACACATACATACAAGACTTTGTTAAGGAATTAGAAAAAAATTGCCCCAGCATTCATATTTTTGTGATACACGAAAAAGAAATTGATTTACGAAGGAAGATAATTAAAGATAATCGACCGAACATTAAATCTTTTGCTGGTACAATAAAAGTACATGAAGTCCGAGGAACCTTTATGAGCAGTACGTAGTACATCAAGAGCTTAAGCTGCTTTGGTAGCAACTTTTGCCCTCACTTCCACTTAGACGACATTAAATACACCCAAAATGATAAAACCAAATTGCATGTTGCTGCAGTATACACCGATTCTGAGGAAATTGTGCAAAACAAAATGATTCCACAAACATCTACTAATCTGATTAATACTATAGACAATAAAGACACGGCTATGATTTTTTTTTGTAGGATAGGGTTCCGCTGTTTTACTCTGGTATTCTGTGAGAGCGTGGTCTTTCCCCGGTCGAGCCGACCCATTTGTGCTATATGTATATATAGCTGCAGCATGGCTTTACCATGTATAAAACGTGGTAGAGCGTATGATTGTCAAGAACCGTAAATTTATACTTGTGGAATAATAAAAAATATAGGTATGCTGGCGCACGTTTGTCAGATTATGATGAAGAAGAAGGATAGCTTAGGGTTACTTTCCTAAAGATCTCCAATAAGATGGTACTCTTTTTAGAATATCTGTCTGATGTTAAATGGGAACGTATCTTGACCATACTACCAGTGCCAAATATACTTATGAAAGGTAACAGATAATTCTACAAGTTTCCAGAGCCAGTTAATGTATTTGAAAAGTAAATTGTTGATTGTTTTGTATTAAAGTAAAATATATTAATTTAGTCGAAATTATCTTCTTTGCAATAAATGAAAGTTTTCATTTATACTGTGCACTGATAATTTTTAAGTTTATTTGTTTAGATAGCCTCGATAATGATAGGTGTTTCACTAGATAGTACTATTGTTTTTTTGTTGCAAAGTTTATTTTTTTGTTTAATTTAGAAGTTTTATTTAGATACACCTAAAACATTGCTTTAAGTTTTTGAACATTTTATAATTAAAATTGTCAAATACCATGTGCTGTAATTTTTATATTAGATAATTACTTTAAATCTCAGATGAGACTGATAAGTAGAAAACATTAACTTCATTATTTGATTCATGCAATTGAAACTTAAGCATTAACAAACCATTAATATTAAAAATTAATTTGTTGAAAGAAGCTGAAAAAACTGTTAACATGTATCTAATATAGTAAAAAATATCTAGACTATAATTTATATATGTTTTATTCAATATTATTCCCCTTTCTTAGGTAATAATTAATGGATTGTTTACTATCCTGCATTAATTTGTCACTACTCTGCCAATAGTGTCACTCCCCTGATAACACATTTTCCCCTGGTGCTTATAAAATTCAAAAAAATGGAAAAATCTTCTGGCCCGTATCATTACAAATGCACAAATAGTGTCAAATAGTGATATTATTAATGTTGAATTAAACAGACTACATTTCCTTCAGGGACACAAAAAAATCAAATACTGTATATTCACCCAAATATAAGTCGGGACAAACAGTAGTAAGTTAGGGTAATATAAGGGTTGTTTTTATTTTTTAATTGAATATAAATACCTACCCTACAGTCCTTTAGATAAATACTAAAGTAGGGTAGGGTGTCTATGTTTTATGTATATTAATTATAGGCCGTGAGGCATTTCATTTTAGTTCTCAGAGATGGCAATGTATCTGTACTGTAGCCTTCTTGGTTTGAGGTTGAGGTTTCCATGGGATGTGGTACCATCAGGGAGACTTTAAAGTCTGTTTGTCACATCAGTTTTTCATAAAACAAAATTTTTGTTGTTATAAACCAGCTACCAACATACACAAATCAAAGAGAGAATATTTAACATTGATTTCAATCTTAATATGAAAACTGTTTGTTTTTATAAACTTTGGAGCTAAGTGGACATATTTACATCTACAGTATCTAAATATTAGTTACTATTTAGAATCAGTGTAAAAATATCCACTACCCTATATCAGGCCGTGGGTGTTGTAAGAGGCGACAGAGCAAGTCAAATCAGAAGATGGGAAGCAGTGTCTTCCTAATAACAACTAAAAATTAAAAACTGCAGTTGCCAACTCACTTGCCAAACGTGGCAATTATGGAAAATATCCTCCCTATGAGGCAATCTGAGGTGGAGGCCAATGTTTAGCAGCAGATTTTAGTAGGTTGTAACGAGATATCAATAGTTCGACTTAACACTACTTTCAGGGGATTTAACAAATACTTTTGTCATATTTTAAGACAATGATTCTTGTATAACATAAAATATTGTTTAAATACACCCAGTATTTGCTCCAACATCACCCCTCAAGAGTATTGCATTAAAATTAAACACACAACCACTGATCAAAATAAACAGCATTAAAATGAATATAAGATGCATTTCTGAAACTGTGCCAAGTTTCTAACAAGAGTTCTTCTAATATATTATAACATATTTTGTTGCACAAACTCAATACAAATGAAATAAATACATTACCACACAAATTAAACAAACCAAAGAAATAAAAACTATCAATAATGACTATATATTTTTTTCTAATGTAAATGAAGACTAAATATTATTATAAACATTTGAATATATGTGTAAGATGTATTTGAATATATGTGTTAAAATAAATTAAGCAAATTTATGCACATTTTTATGATAAAGAAAATACATTAATGAACATAATGCTCTGATGGATTTACTTTCCATTATGAGGGAGATTTTGATAAGTCAAAAAGCCAAAGGTAAACATCCAATTAGATTCAAAACTAACAAAGCTTATTATCGAGAAATACATAAAGCTACCGCGGAGGTCACGGAATGTATGCAATCAATGCGTCAATAGTACCTAGCCTAGTTACGAAATAAATAAATTTAAGGTAATAGAAAGCACCAAAACACTTACTTATAAAAAGAAAAGCTGCAAATCACATCATACTCCAAATTACAGCCTTCCACCACACACTTTTGAGCGGTCATTGTGGGGAACTAATCCGCGACCTCCAAATATGGAGTCCGATATTTCACATCGTTGTTTATACAAAAAATATTAAAATACTATAGTTTAGCGCCTAAACTAACTTTCAAACAAACTAATTTGATGGATCTTTGGAAAATTATCAATCAAATGTCGAAAATGACATGCTGTCACGAAAAGTCGAAGTCTAAAAGTCTAAATGCGTGTGCCATGAAATGGTGATGTAATTTTTCTATTAAAATAATAGATGGCAACATCAGTCGCTTCCATCGATAATAACCGATTTAGAAATCGAATGACCCGCTTTTCTAATTGCAGAATAGATAATATTTTAATGAATAGAAATATTGTAGATCATAATTTATGTGAATTTAGCGATTTTGAACTAAATCTTTCAATTATAAACTACCATTGTTAGTTATTTTCATCTAATCAACTGCTGAAATAGGTAATTATATTAGTAGAAACACGAAAAATATGTAAGAATCGACTAATGTTTTAGAATTTTCCTGTATTATATTTTTAAATCTTAATTTTTAAATCACAAACAAAAATCCTAACCAAAACCTTGTGAAAACCGCCATCCTTAACTTAAAAAGTTGTTATTTTATTACATAGACAATATTAATACCTTAATCATTCCAAACTTAAAATTAAAGAGAAAAGGACAAATGATTAAAGGATTGAGTTGTAAAATCCTATAAGTGCATGTTATGTACATCACAGAAGAATTATATACTTTTAAGACATAGTAAATAGTGTAAAAAGTGGAACAATCCCTAGTTTTCAAAAAATGACAACCAAACAAGCAAGCAACATAATTAGAGGTATACGTGTGAACTTCGTTGAATGTGCATTCAAATTTTCCCATCGTTTAGATTTGCACTTTGTAAGAAGTTTGAAGTACAACTGTTTTTGTTTGGTATTCGTATCCATAGTTTGTGTTCTAAGCCTGTGTCCTTTTGTAAAATATCTATTATAACCTCATGACACCTAAAGGACTAACAGTCAAGTACGAGTAAAATTTATTTATTTTTGTGAATTTTACCGCCTACCATGAAACGTTGTAACAACTCATACTACATTTTTGCATATTCTTGCTTTACGACAACGCCAAAAGAAAATTTACGATTTTAGCAAGCTTTGTATATGTGTATGTATGTATATGAACATTTTTATGTTCATCTGTACCCTTAGATCTCTTAAGTTAATTATTTAATATTTGCAAATTTCTAAGAATATGAGGGAAACAGAAACAGGTAATGGGCAGCAGCCTCTTCTTGATAACAACTTCAAATTATATAAAACTACGGTTGTCAACTCACCTGCCTAGCGTGGAAACTATGGCAAAGACCTCACTACGAGACAATCTGTGGTGGAGGCCTAAGTTTTGTAGTGAAATTTTAATAGGTCGAATGGAAGAATATGAATGTGAAGTTATGAAGATATTACATAAATTTTTTTAATATTGTACTTTCTAACATATTCAATCATAATTAGCCCATAAATCTTAATCAAATATATTTAACAATTATTAAAATTAAAAGCCAACTTGAATTTTAATTTAAAGTAAGCATTTCGAATGGTAAATGTAATTAAAAAAAAACACCTTTTATTATTACAAATCTCTCGACGACGAGCACGACTCTTCCAAGGGTACCTTACCCTTGGAAGAGTTGTGCTCTTTCGCGGATTATAAATATTAATAAGTTAAGAATTTAGTTTTTATTTTACAGCATTAAAATTGTAATAAAATTAAGTGTACGTTTTGAAATATTTTTAATATCTTTCGTCTTAATTTTTTTACTTAACAAACGCGCCTGTAGCGACGATTCATTTAATTTTTAAAATATATAAGTATGTTTCAATGTAAATCAAATTAAACGTAAAATTAAGTAATGTATAATAAATAGGTATTTATTCAATAAAATATATTTCGATTCTCAAATTGAGTAGAAAGTTTGTCGATTTTCAGTGTTGCTATTAAAAATACAACCAACGAGCTTCTTAATTTTTAAGTTATATTTAGTATTTTATACCTTTCGCTTAATTTTACCTTAAATTTCTTCCCCTACGATTATAAGGAATAGTTTTAAACAAAGGAAAATCTTTATCGATTACTCACCTATTTGTTTTCTTTCGTAATCATGCATGATACTGATACTGATAAAATAAATATATTTATACTTCTTAAAAATAATCATAGACAATTTGCAAACATATAAATGTATTGATCGCATAGTTTCTTCACTTCCGGTCAATTCTAAGTTATTCCAATACTATTTTAAACATGCATTGAAATTGATTGTTTATCGTGAAATTCTTATTTATGAACCTTGAACAAACTACAATAAAACTTAACATTGAATCGTAACTTGTCATTGTCAAAAATTCTGTGACAATTGTGACAAATTATGTCATCAATCAGAATTGGAGTTGACTTGACCCTTCAAGTTTCCTACACCTTATGCGTCTATGTCAGACAGCAAAAAATGTAAACAAAAGCATTGTACTTACATAAGTAATTGAATTTTATTTACGCAATTCGTAATATTATTCATTACTTATAATCTTAATCATAATATATTTTCTCTGCTATTATTGGCTTTTTATTACTTAATCAGATTTTACCTTTTTATATTCAATTCTAAGTAATATTACATAATATTTCATACTTTATTGTAACTCCACTAGTAAGTCTGTGATTGTAACTACACAAACTTTTTGCAGACAGGTACTTCGTGCTTCGATTTACAGTAGTTAGTAGTTACCTACTTATTTAGAAGTTAAAGGTAAATATAACTAAAAATTGAGAATCCGAATTTTGCGAATTCTTTTATCAATATAGGACACTAGTCTTATAAAAGGTATTGCATCTCGATGCCTTCCCCTAGCTATTGCTCTGCCGCAACCGCGTGTAACACCAAAGAGTATAATAAGTATAACACTCACTCGTGGCCGTGTGAGAATAGCATTATAATTTATAACGGAGCCTCTGAAATCAAGTGGAGAACCGGCAATTAAAAGTTATTTGATTATGTCTTTCACGCAGGGGCGTAGCTACCGCCGTATCAATCAATGATACGGGGTCCCCGGGCTACAGGGGCCCCGAACGTATGTAAGCAAAAATTCTAAGTACTTGTATGGGACATGATGTTGGTTTGAATTGTTTGGATAGGTTAGTTCCTAGGAGTATTAATGGTAAGTAATAACTTATAATCAATATATAATTATTTTTATTCAATGCGAGAGTTTTTGTTCCTTTTGTGAAAAATCTTTACCCTTCATTTGAGCCCCCCGACAAATTTTGCCCAAATAGTACCTTAGATACCCCTCTAAGGCACGCTACTCCACTGCTTTCACGTTTGTTTTGGAATGGGAACTCGTAGCATAAGTTATGTAAGCACTGATAAACACCTAGTTTCAGACTAATGTCCAGTTGTGTTGTGTTTACGTATTGTGTCAATTCTGGATATTTGCCGAAAAATCTCATGCGAACGGTGGTGGTTCCAACCCCTTAAAAATAAATCCCGTGACCTTTCTAGTTTTAAAAACTACCGGCCGATTTCTTTAGGGACTATTATATGTAAATTTTTGGAAAAGCTATTACACCAGAGTATAAGCAACAACATTAGGATTGACGACACGGAGTTTGTTTTTCGTTCCGGACTTTCAACGGACTCTGCAGTCTTCAGTCTTAAACACCTCACAGAAAACCAGCGTGAAGTAGAGGTTTACCTCTGCGTTTCGCTTGGTGAGTGCAGGTGGCCGGAGGCCCTTTTTACTGAAATGAGGCATTCCATCTTAGTCCTCACGGGTGACAACGCATCTACATTTTGATTTGTAACAGAGGATAGATGTAGATGTCTATGGGCCGCAGCAACCACTTACCATCAGGTGGACTGTGTGCTCGTTTGTCACCCTTATCCTATAAAAAAAAATCGACAGTTTACTACTACATAAATAGATGTACACCTGTGTATGCTTGCTTTTTAGACCTTAGTCGTGCTTTTGATTTAGTTAACTATGGCAAAAACTAATAGCATCAAATGTACCCAGAAAGACTGTGGATCTGTTGAGATACTGGTACGGGAACGAGACAAACTTTGTGAAATGGGGCAACGCCATCTCTAAAGATTATTTATTAGAGTGTGACATACGTCAAGGTGGGCTGACCTCTCCGGATCTATTTAGCTTATACGTAAACGACCTGATTGAGGAACTTAGAAGTACAAAAATTGGTTGTCACATGAGTACAATTTGTCTGAATAATCTCAGCTAAGCTGACGACATGGTGCTACTGAGTCCTTCAATCTGGGGTCTTAGAAAGTTATTAGCCATATGCGAGCATTATATGCGGGATCATGGCCTGAAGTATAATGTTAATAAAACGCAGATGATGGTGTTTCGCTCGGGCAGAAGCCCGGGGAGGATTCCGTTAACATTTCTGGACGGTGAAGCTCTTGCAAGAGTGAGTCTATTCAGGTACCTGGAGCATATCCTGACTGAGGATTTGCGTGATAACCTCGATATAGAACGTGAAAGGAGGGCCCTGGCTGTTCAGTGTAATATGCTCGCACGCCGGTTTGCGCGGTGCAGTCCCAAGGGAAGGCTGACCCTGTTTAGAGCATATTGTCAATGCTTCTATACTTGTCAGCTTTGGTTGGACAGTACCAAAAATGCACGTAGCAGCATTAGAGTGCAGTATAATAATGCATTCCGCATTCTTATGAAACTGCCTAAATACTGCAGTGCGTCGAGCATTTTTGCCAACGCCGCGGTGCCCGATTGCTTCGCCGTTATTAGATCTCGGGTGGCAGCTTTTTGATCCCGCATCCGTGATTCCGAGAACGAGATCCTCAGGGTGTGCTACGAGTGCCCAAAGAATCCAATACTAAAAATATTGCGTGCCGTGCATCGCGACAATAACTGTAAATAGATAGTACGAACTTGGGAGCAATTTTAGTATTTTTAGTATTAACCTATGATTACAGTTGAATTT